TACATGGTGTATCTTCTGGGAGAATGCAAACTCCTTGAAGTTGGGGACATTTTCAGTATTGTTGCGGTTTTTTTGTTTTTGTTTGTGGGTCTCCAGTACCTAGCACTGTACAGGTGCCTAAATGTTTGTGGAACTCAACTGAATGGTTCAAATCCCTTTATTTTACAAATGAGGAAACAAGCTCGGAGTAAATGAAATGCCTTGTCCAGAGTTATGTAGTTGCCTGGTGTCAGGGCCAAGACGACAACCTAGATGCCAATCCAATGCCCTTTAATTACACCACAGCAGCAGAAAGAAAAAAAAAGCCGCCCTCCCCCCAATTATAAAGAGGCTTTACAATTTACACAGTGTGTAAGGCGAGTAGGGCTCACGACAAATGGAGAAGTCCTGATAATCTAAGTGTTTTGAGTCCAAAACCTCGCTGCCTGAAGCTAATTTCTCTCTCTCTCTGTCTCTGTCTCTCTGTCTGTCTCTCTGTCTCTGTCTCGGTCTCTCTGTCTCGGTCTCTCTCTCTCTCTGTCTCTGTCTCTCTCTCTCTCTCTCTCTGTCTCTGTCTCTCTGTCTCTGTCTCTCTCTGTCTCTCTGTCTCTGTCTCTCTCTGTCTCTCTGTCTCTCTCTCTGTCTCTCTCTCTCTCTCTCTCTTCTCTCTCTCTCTCTCTCTCTCTCTCTCTCTCTCTCTCTTCCCCCCTTCCCTCCCCGCCCCCGTACTCAAGTTTCTAAAGGATTTCTAAGCGGTGACTTACAACCAGGTGCATTTCAGCACTTGAAATGCTCTGCCTCAACTAGAAGGTGGTTTTTTATCAGTCTTGGGGTGGGGGTGGGGGGCATTAAATACGCTCTGGGCTACCAGGGGATTACTGCGGTTAGCTTTCAGTCTCCCACCTTGACATGGGCTGCATTTATTTTTCTTCCCTGAGCAACAGGCTATTTCCTGGTTCAGTTTAAAAATTCAGTGACGTTCCTGTTTCAGCCCACACATCTGTGTCACTCTCAGCGTCAGTGGCAGGAAAACATTAGAAGTCACCCTTTGCTAATGCTTTCCTAACATGGAGTTTCCTTGTCTCTTCCGCCACCCTTCTCCTCCAACCCCAAACTGTCTTTCCCCCTCCCAAACAAGAATCACTGAAAATGGGCACAGCCGGAAGGAGGGGATGATTTGTAAGTTAAGGAGATGCTAGAAGAAACAAAGCTACTGTTCTCTTAACCTTTTTTCCCCCCTCCTTCAAGGGGATGAGGAGTCAGCTCAAGTCCTTTAGGAGAACCACAGACTTCCTGACAAGCCCCTGAATCTCTCCCTGTCAACAACCCAACTGCCTACATTCCCAGGGAAAAACAGCATCCTGGCCTGGATGTTTAAGGAGATGCTGGGATTCCGCACATACCCAGAGGCGGCAGCATACAGGGAACGGGGAGAGGAGTGAGCCATTCAGGAGCTTCCAAATCAACAGGGCGAGGCAATAGGATTTTCTCAAAGGGGGAAAAGTTATTTCCTCTGCAAACTCGAGGCTTCGGGAGCAAGGTGGCGTGCCCCTTTAAGGGGAAGAGGCCACTTAGCTCCTCGGCCTGGCAGTATAGAGTGGGGCAGAGAGAGGGGCAGGTTCAAGGCCACTCCAGCGCCTCCCTCGCCGAGGTACCATATGTTCTCTAGCTCACATCAACAGCTTTATGGCCCCATCCTCTTGCTCCAGAAAGGAAAAGCAAAAGCGAGGAGTCCCAGGTGCAGCCCGGGGTTTCACACTTCTATCATTCCCTTGGAGTTTTAGGGGCCTGGCTGTGGGGTCTCTGGAACTTCTCTCAGGCTGGGGAAGTGTCCAGCTACCACTATTCTAACCATCTTCCAGGAATGAGAAAAGGGGTGGAGGGAGGCGGAGGGGAGGACAGGGAGTGAAGAGAGGAATGGGGGAGCCATGGGAGGGAGCAGATAGCAGCAATGTTTCCATGGGATGAAACTGGAGAAAGAGGGGGCAGGGGCGGGGGCGGGGGCAGACCCGGGGGGGCGGGGCATGCTAAGCACTGGATTCTTCCCTCGGTCAGAGCCAAGCCAACCTCTCGGAGTTCTGACTACCGCCCCCTTCTTCTTATTGGTCACTTATTCTTATTGTCAGGCTTCCCTTCAACAAACACTTCCTGAAGAGTGGGTTCGCATCTCGGGTCGAATACAGCACGGATTACAAAGTGCCTCTTTTACTCAAGTTGCTCCCTAACCTTGTCTTATACAGTCAGCTGGGGGCGGGGGCGGGGGAGAGGCAGGTGTAAAGAACATGGGACGGTCACACGATTCCCTCCAAAGAAAGCCCTTGGGGAGTTTGAAATCCAAGTAGGGACAAACCCAGGGAAAGAGGGGGGAAGGAGAGTGAGGAGGCATCCGAGCTATCAGTGTGGCAGCAGCTCTGGCACTGGTCAAGGGTAGTTGCTCGGGTCCAGGCAGGGAAGGCGAGGGAAAGCACCGCACCGCCTTGTTCCACCAAGAGACACGCACAAGATATTTCTCTAAAACCGGGGCCGGCGAAAAGACAGTGTTCTGCTACAGAAGCTCGCCTACAAGAAGGGCGGGGGGAGGGGAAGAAGGAGGAGGGAGAGGATCGGATTAGTTTTGAAAAAGCACTCGGGCCTCCTAGCAGTGCGCTAGAGCCATAGCGAGCAGGATCAGTGCCCCCTACTGGCGAGGCAGCTCGCTTCAGGGCCACGATAGGGTGCCCGTTTGGGTTAAAGGTGTTGTGCCAACTGTACTGGGAGAAACGGAGGAAACTGACATGCTCAGTATCTAACAGTGAGCCTCACGAATTTCCCTGGACCGTGCTAGGGGGCTCCTGTGAAATGGTCTCCAGACACACACACACACACACACACACACACACACACACACACACACACCCTGGAGCGTCTCAGAAGCCACTTCTAGACAACCACCCCCTGCCGCCTCCCCCCTTCCCCTCACTACAACCTCCTGGGAAACAAAGGGGCTTTTTATTAAACAGATTGTTCAGAAGGGCAAGGGGGGGGGGGAGAGGAGGGAATCGAAAAAAAACTAAGCAAAAAAAAAGTGCCTGCCTCCTAGGAGCCCTGAGCCTTGAGCCCTTCGAATAGGAAAGGCGGTAGGTACCGTCACTCTTAGCCTACTGCCCAGGCAACATCTCTAAGGAAACTGGGGAGCAGCCCCTGGCCTGGCACTTTGCCAGGACTACGGCTTCTCCCCGGGACCAGTGATCAGCACCCAAATGTTGGGCTCATTGATCTTCCAAGGTCCTAAACCCCAGTGATCCATGCTAGCCTCGTTCCCTGCTTCAGTCTTCGTTGTGAGTGCCAAGCTGTGGGTGGAGGTAGAGACGGCTTAAAAGGGAAGGTGCGGGGTGGGATGCATTGCTCCCCCTGGCCCAGATATTCGTAAAAATAAGTCAGGGGCCCCGGAGGCAACATCAGTGGCAGCAGGAATCTTCCCAGCTACAATGGAGATCGCGAAACGAGTCAACCAGGGACTTGTTTACATAGGGGCTGTCTCACCCCAGCTCCTAATCACAGGGTGAGAAAGCTGGAGCTGGGCACAGGCTCTCACTCCTAGTCTGGAGATTTCCCAGGGAGCTTCATCTGCGCTTACTGGGGTCCACTCGGCTCTACATTCCCTTCAAGGGCTCGGAGCCAAAAACTGTAGCCCCCTCCCCCCTAAACTCTTCCAGAATAACTCGGGCTCCGGGAGACTTTGCTACGTCTTTTGTTCAAATATTGCTGTGTTCCGTATGCTTTGCTCTCGCTTCTAAACACTATCCATTAACCTGCTTGCGCTGACCGAAAATAGCCGGGGTTGTTCGTTCGTTTGTTTGGTTTTTTAAAAAAATTTTTTTTTAAAGATAAAACAGTGCCAACGATTCGCTTCTTTCTGATTCACCTGATCCCCCTTTTAGGACCCATTCCTGGCCTGACTGTATACCCGAAGTCTTCCCCCACTCCCAACGGCTTGCATTTGGTCACCTCTGTCTGAGCGAAGTTTCCATCTCAAAACCCCAAGAATTCAGCGAAAAGCAACCGTTGGGCAGCCTTCTGTTTACACAGGGAAATCACGACTTCAAGGGCTAAGTTTATTGGTAGTCTAATCCTATTAGTGTCTGTTCAGTCAGCATTTAATCTAGGATAAAAATTGGGCAGTATCTATTGCTATCCCAGGCTATTTTCAGCTATACTGCATCTGAGAACAATGTACGAGCCTAACAGCAGCAAAAGTAGCTTGGGGGGGGGAGCTTCCCGTACTCCGAACCCCACCGCCAGACTGGCAAAGATCGAACTAGGGTCACTTGAGCCTTTAGTGGGGTTCTCTGGTGAGCCAGGCTGGCGGAGGGAGAGCCCTGCCCGGGGCTGCCTTTCCGAGAAAGAAGAGGGGAGGGGGCGTGGAGGGTAGAGTAATAGCCATACATAGGGGCTAGGAGACACTTGCTGATTTGAACTGTACAGTGGGGCGGGGGGGCTGAGCAGGTTTCAGCCTCTAGCCTCCAGTGCGGCACCTGCCCTCCCCAACAGGCACAGAACTGAATCCAGACTCTAGTTGAGATAACTAGGCATTGCACTTGATCTGCTTCCTCGAGAAAGTCCTCGCTCTGTCCCCACTTACTCGATTGCTGGAATCACCTGAATTTAACCACCATTTTCGACAGTTAGCATAATGGGGAAGAAATTTCCCGGAGGGAGAAGAGGCTCGGCAGCAGGTTTAAGGGTCTGCTGGACCTAACTACCTCGATACCCCCACACCCAAGAGCAAATAACTAGCGGAGAGGCTTGCAGGTGAACCCACTAAAGACATCCCTAGGTAGACTACTTTTGCAGTCAGGCTCTGATCAAACTTTAGAGCCTTTCCCCCTCCCCCCGCCCCTTCCCCAACTGGTGATCAGTAATTCAAAACATAATAAATGAGGGGGGAAAGGGAGCCTTGGTAAAAGTCGCTACTGGGAATTATTTCAACAGCCAGTACTTTTCTGATGCTTATTCATTCTGAATGCTCCCAAGCTCCTTACCGTAATGTGGGGCTCCATCCGCGGTGCTTCTATCAGCTGAGAAACCAGCAGCATCTTGAACTGGTGATCCACCAGCTTTTAGTTCCACTTTGGCTTTGTATGTGACAAAACCCCCAGCTGCAAACCCCGATAAAGGGACTGGCTGATTGCGTGCCCCCACCCCCTTCCCCCCTTTCTCCTCTTAGGTTCCAGACAAGTTCATTCTGGCGTTGCAGTTTGCTAATGATTCACTGTCTGTCTCAATCTGTTCACTACATTTCCATCAGCCCACAGCCTCCCCGCTCAGAAGGTGGAGTTTCTGGGGTTTAAGTTACTGATAGGCATTTCTCACTGCTGTGTCACTCAAAGAGGAGGAGACACAGTACACACCACACCCCCCACCCCCCACGCACAAGCACACGAACAAACTGAGAAGCTGCTCCAGCCTTAAAGGAGAAGTCTCTCTCTCTCTCTCTCTCTCTCTCTCTCTCTCTCTCTCTCTCTCTCTCTCTCTCTCTCTCTCTCTCTCTCTCTCTCTCTCTCTCTCTCTCCTCCCTCTCCTCCCTCTCTCTCTCCCTCTCTCTCCCTCTTTTCAAGTCCCTTCTCACTCTTGTAAGAATCAGATGTCCCCTGGGAAACTAGAAATTATCCATTTAGGGAGGGAGTGGATGGGTCACAATAGCAAAGAGTAAAAGCCTAGAAAGTGGGGAGGGAGAAGACAGGGAGGAAGGAGAGAGTGAGACACAGAGAGAGAGAGACAGACAGACCTACCTCTACTGGCCAATTCTACTATTGATGTCTTTATGGTTATTTCATTTCCTAAGTGAACCCAAACTAGACCATTCTAACTTCTGTGGATAAAAAGTGCACGAAGAAGGAATCTAACTCTTCTTGTATTATGCTCCTTAGAGAGAATCCTCCCATTTGGCTATTGTTATTCCTTAAATGTGGGCGGGAGAACTTTCTCCTTTTCTGGGTGGGGGGACCAGCTTCTAGTTAGGAAAAGGGGAGAAATTCCCTTAGTTAAAAATTCACACACACACACACACACACACACACACACACACACACACACACGCACCCCTGCCCCCAGAGGGAAATCCGGGTTACTAGGCTGGGAGCGGTGTAGCTGGCCTCCTGACTTTCTCACTTTTCAGCCTCTATCTATAAATCTGCCAGAAGGCAAGTTGACTTTCCTGGAGCTGTGTAAAGAAAGCTTGAGAGCTGGCCCAGGGAAGAGTTTTGAAAGAACATCTGCCCAAGGACAGGGGTTGAAGCAACACTGAAGCCTTCCCATTAAAACACATAGATATCCCAGGGAGGCAAGTCTTGCAAAGCCAGGTGAGGGCACCTCATTTTTCCCAATTATGAGATCCTCTAGCCTTTGCAGAGGTCACTAGCTAAGTGCAGGTGTGACCTCCCCTTTCAGGATCTCCTTGTTCTCCTATGTAAAATGAGGGAGTCAGACATGGAGTATCCCATTCTAGACCCGACATTCTGCCATCCTAAATCCCTTCCCCTCCCCTGGTTTCGGGTTCCTCCTCTTCAGGATGCTTGGGGGGTTGTGTTAAATAATCTAGCTGTAGGGTCTCTTCTAGACCTGATATTCTATTATATTAATTCACTGCCCATCTTTGGGTCTGTGTCCTCCTTTATGAGAATGGACTATATGACCCTAAGGTCTTCTTTAGCACTGACATTCTATGATTTTTAGGTTAAAAACTGGCCTTGAGGCTAGAGTCTTACAGTGTGGGACCAAGGGTTTGTTTGTAAACATCACCTGAAAACAGGGTGAAATGCTCTGATACCCACCCCACCCTTACATTGGTTAAATACCTGGAAGGTGAAGCTAGCTTGGGGAGGGGGGAGGGTTAAGAACAGAAATCTCAGGATCACTCCTGCTTTGAACAAGATGGCTAAAACTTTCACTGACCAAGAAACAAGAGGAAGAATCCTGCCTTTATGCCAGTTACATAAGATTTTCTCTGAATTGTGGATTTCTTGTGGACTTTTTTTCTCATTTGCTTTTACCTGGCATTCATTTTACCCAGGAACATAATTTTTCCTTTAAAATTTTTAAAATAGGGAACAATTATCCTACTTGCCCAAGAGCAATTGGTTTTACAATTCTGGCACCTCCCTGAGTACTGGATACAAAATACACAGCAATTGATAAGACTTTGATGGTAGCTTAGATATCAAATCCACTATAGAGACTTGGAAACCAACAGCTGGGTGCCTGAGTGCTGGGAGAGAGGCAAATCTTGAGAAGACATATTCCCTGTCCTCTTGAAAATTAGAGTTTTGTAAGGGGACACATAGATAACAATATTCCACCAGAAGAATGTAAACTGCTTGGGGTCAGGGATTGGTTTTCATTTTGTCATAGCATCCCTAGGGCCCAGCACAAAGCCTTGAACATAGTAGACACTTAACGCATGTTATTGGATTTGTTTGGATTCATGTTACATGATAAGCACATTACAAAGGTATGTGACATATAAAGAAGAAAGTCATTACCAGTAAAGACATTAGGGAAAACTTTTTGGATAAGATGGCATTTGCATTGATCTTTAAAATGTGGATAGGCATTCAGTGGACAAAGATAAGAAGGGAGAACATTCCTACCACAGGGAAGTGTGAGCAGAGAGGCTTTGAGAAGGGAGAGCTTGGGTATGTTCAGAGGGAAGAGTTGTCCAATTGACTGGAGCATAGACAACATAGAGGAGAGTGACATACGATAAGGCTTAGAAAGGTAGATTTTAGAGAGCCTTGAAGACCATGCAAAGGAGTCTGAATACACTTGATGAAAAAGAAATAGGAAGAGTGACATCTACCCAACCCCATGCCCACCTCCCCCTCCAGTGCTGAACACTATTAGGAACAGGGTAGTTATACCTTACTCCAGCTGTTAGCACAGCTATATATGTCATGAAGGAATCGCTCTGCAGTTCTCACAAAAACAAAACACAATCTCCTCCCTTTTCGCATGGGTTGATATTGGGCCTCACGATTTCCTTTCGAGTGTTTTCTTCAGTTTCCTGAAGGGGGCGTGGCTTCCCAGTTGGCCTTACAGTACAGGAATCATTTACTACTTGAGCAGCAGGTTGAACTGTCCAACTCATAACCTGTAACCCACAAACTCCCAGCCCAGTTGAGGAGACTATCGGTCAGTATAAAAATAGTCACACAGTACTACTCAAATAGGAGAAAAAAGAGGAAGCTGTTTGTATTGGCTGTTTTGAAAATAACTGGACTTCATTTAGGCTTATGCCTATTCCCTGTAATCTTTTATATGATGGCACCCGCAGACAACAAGTTTTCACTGCCAAGTTACAGCTAATCTATGTTTCCCTTTTCACTAGGCTGGAATTTCCTATTCTTTCCGAGAGCCTGGAGGACCACTGAATTGACCATGATGACTGCATAACATCTTAGTAAAAGCTTTGTTAGCTTATGTGTGGCTCATGTTAAAAGAATTTGATATCTGAAGGCATCTTAAACTCAACATGTCCCAAACAGAGCTCATTGTCTCCCCCTGCCCCCAATACTCTCCCCTTGACTGCATTTTCCTATTTCTGTTGAGGACACAACCATTATTCACTCTCCTGGGTTTGTAACTTGTTGAGGATTTGAGGAGTCATCCTCAACTTCTCATTCTCCCTCATCCCACATATTCTAACAGTTGTCAAATCTTGCTTCTTCTACCTCTGAAACATCTATCAAATCTGCCCCTTTCACTCCTAACACAATCATCACTTCAGTTTAGGACCCAATTATCTCTTGCAAGGTCTCCTAATAGGTCACCCACCCCTAGTCTCTTTCCACTCCAATCATCCACACAAGTGGTACAGATCTGACCATTCCATTCCCCATTCCAAGAAACTCCAGTGGTTCCTTCTTGGCTCTAGGATAAAATGAAAACTCCTCTGCTCAAAGTTCTTCACAACTTGGTCCCAACCTGTCTTTTTAGCTTCATGATTCCCTTTCCCAGACTGGCCTTCTCTCTGTCACACTTAGCACTCCATCTTGGTCATCTCCCATCCCTGGAATACATTCCTTCCTCATCTCCACCTTGCAGAATTACTCACTTCCTTCAAGACCCAGTTTCAGGACCACCTCCACAAAGCCAAGCTGATCCCTCAAATGCTAGTGCCCTCCTTCCCAAACTACCTTAGTTTTAGCTAACTTCTTTTATTTGGTATTTAATCTGTATATATGTTTATGTTACATAAAAGAGCATAATATATATGTATATTATATAAAAGAATTGTAGATGTACATTAAAGCAGAGGAGAGTATACAGAAAGAGAAGATGGGCTAGCTCCTTGTGTCGTGTGAATGAGGGATAACAAGTGAATGGCCAGAGTGCTCTCCTGGTACCCACATTATGTTGGGAGAAAATAAGCAAGGTCCCTAGAATGTTGAGTGGACCTTCTGTGGTGAACTTGTGGGAGTATCTGGACAAGAGTTGCCCAAGATGAGCAGGCACGGGTGGGCTGTCATATGCATCACTGAAAGGAACTCCCAAAGAGATGAGATCCCAGATTCACATTTGAGTATATACTCATGTAGTGCAGTCTTTGGGCTCTTACTCCTAACCCTGACTTGCATTAACAGATAAGGTCCCCAGAGCTCAGCTGCTTCTTCTCCACTGAGGGTCCTGAAGGGTTGGGGGTTTTTTTCCTAGTAGTTTAACTCATGAGCCCCCACTGGTATAGTTCTTTCCCCTTCCATGATTATCTGTTGATATCAATTAGTCAGCCAGACTTAATTAGCTTTTAGAAAGGGGTGTTCACTAAGGTGGTCTAGTAAGAACAACTGGTATAAAAAGCTGCTCCAAAAGTATGCGATATATTCTCCCACAAGTATGTACACAATCCAGGGGCAAGTGGGCTCAAGCTTAGACCCCGTGTACCAAAGGGCTTATGAACTTCCCCTTAGCCAAGATGTAACTTTTCTGATGGGCTTCTAGTAGAGTCTTTATTTATTTATTTTAGGCAATTGGGGTTAAGTGACTTGCCCAGGGTCACACAGCTAGTAAGTGTCAAGTGTATGAGTCTAGTAGAGTCTTGCAGCTGCTTTTTTTTCAGGGTGTCTAGTTTGGCTAGTCTGCTCCCAATAAAGATATTACTGCCAGTGACTGCTATTCTAGGGACACCGCTAGAACGCCTATGAAAAAATCCAAATTCTCTCCAAAATTCCCAAGATCACCATTTGGTCAAAAGGCAGAAGAAACTTTGTATCTCTAGCACT